GGACGGACTCGTCAAAAGTGACGTCCTGAGAAGGCAGAACCCGGCGCGAGGTGACGTGGTAAAACTGCCAACCAGGCGCGTCCGGGACAAAGCCAAGGAAGACACAAGGAACAGCGCGGGAGGAGAGCTTGTCCGCGGACGTATCGCGAACAAAAGCTCGGGATCCCCAGACCCGAAAACGCGACGCATCGCCAACCTCTCCCGTCCAACGCAGTGTCGGGGAAGTCTCCGGTAAGGAGACACGGGGCCAGAGGTTGAGCTGATGTGCAGCGTATCGGACAGTAAACGGCCACAGAAAGTGGGGGGCAGCCGCATGGATCAGGGAGGTACGAGCGATCTCCATGACCAAGCCAATGCGGCGCTCAGCAACCCCATTCTGCTGTGGAGAGGCCGGAAGCGTGAACGACTGCTCAATGCCGTGCTCGGCACAGTAGGCTGCCAGGAGGTCGGAGGAGAACTCACCACCTCTGTCAGAGTGCAGACGCAGGACAGGAAAGTCCGAGCGGAAACGCTCGCTGAGCTGGAGACGAGCTCTGCGGATCCAAGGGATCAAGACATCAGGGACCTCACCCTTGGTGCGCAAGGGGAAGACCGTGGTGTAGCGCGAGTAGTCGTCAACAACAATCAGGAAGTACCTCTCCTGACCCTGTCCACGGACGCGGGCTGGGCCCCACACGTCCAGGTGGAGCGTCTGCAAGGGAGCAGTCGTCGGGGGGAAGGAGGAGGAGTGAGGAGCGGCGCGCTGCCGCCCCTCGACACAGGGAAGACAGGGAGGAGCAGGCGAGGGTGGGAGGGGAGGGAGAACCCTGGGAAGACCAGAGACAAGGTACCGTTTGTGCATGGCACGAAGGCGCTGCACAGACGGGTGACCAAGTCGGTGGTGCCAGAGGACGGTCTCGTGCGCCAGAGAGCGACACGAGCAGGGGGCCGACAGCTGACCTGACGCAGACGCCGACGCAGACGCAGCTACCTGAGGGGACTCAGTGGTCAGTGTGTACAGGTCCGACCCCGGTTGCCGAGTGAAGGTAGCCAGGTGACGGCCCGTCCGAGCACACGTGCAGTGTGTCACGCGCTCGTAGGCAGGGGTGAACTGGTGAACACCCGCATCCTGGAGCGCACAACCCACCACCAAGTTCGTAGAGAACGAGGGGAGGTGGAGACCTGACAGTGTGCCCGACGGGACCGCAGGACAGGGAAGAACAGTGGAGGAGGTCGCAATGACCAGACCCCCAGAGGGGTCAGCGAGGGAGACAGCAACTGGCCGAGCAAGCGGCTCAAGGGCAGTGCGGTCACGAAAGAAACAGCGAGAAGCACCTGAGTCCAGGGTGAAGGTGTGCAGTGCCTCAGTCGACTCAGTACCAGGGGGGACAGACTCACTGGCACCTAGAGCGGCAGCCTCACCATCACCTGAGGTAGCAGACACGCGAGTACCTGCAGTGGCAGTCTCACTAGCACCTAGAGCGACTGCCTCACTGATCAGAATGCCCGGGTCGGGCGGAACACGCAGGTACTGAGCACCCTCTCCACTAGTAAACATCACATACATGGCAGTGAGAATAGCATCAAAGTCTAGAGCCCAGATATCAACTCCCTTCTTCATCAGATCAGCCCAGCGGGGCAGCTCAGTGGCATCAGGGAACTGGGTGCGCCAAGCGTCGTCAAGGCGCGAGAAACAGCGCTGCGTGGGGTGCAGCCTCCCACACGTCTGACCAGTGCGGTCACCAGTGCGGATGACGTACGTGCAGCTAAAGCCACCCGCCCCCCCGCGCTGCGAATACCACTCACGGGCCTCCTGGAGCGACGGAGTGTGCTGCTGGCTGAGATCACCGCCAGCGCCTCCACGACCACCACTGCCGCCGCCACCGCCTCGGCCACCTCCACCCCTGCCGCTGCCACGACCACCTCCACCCCTGCTGCCGCCCCCACCCCTGCCACCGCCCCCGCCGCTGCCGTCACCACCCCCACTGCCGCCACTAGCCTCTCCAGCCCCACCTCCACTCCCACCGCCTCCATCCCCGCCTCCCCCACCGCCACCTCCACCCTTGCCCCCTCTGTTCCTGCGGCGCCCGCTCGGAGCAGACGCCGTCCCGACCTTCTCAGCACCAAGGAGGTCGACAGCAGAAGCAGAGGCTACAGAGGGGAGAAGGGGGGAAGGGGAACACCCCTCAAAGAAAGGGGTGCGGGGGTCGCCACGAGAGGCACCTACAGCAACGATGCTCGCCTCAGCTGCAAGTAGTTCCTTCTCGAGGAGGGCAATGGTGAGCTCAGTGGGGCAGCGAGCTAGAAAGTGATCCCTGACTGTGCGCAGAGAGTCAGGGAGGCGGGTGACGATGTGGTAGAGAGTGAGCCAGAGCGGGGGGGGGTTCTTAGCAAGGAACTCATCGGGCATAGCAGCGCGGAAGCGGGCCTCACTAGTCTTGAGGTGGGTGATGAGGTCAGCAACTGTGTGAAAGGAGGCCAGGTCGGGGAACAGGTAGGGGAGTGAGAGGCGGCCTAGTGCGGCAGAAGCAGGTGAGGAGTAGCGAGCAACGACAGCAGTGTACAGTTCCTTAGCAGTCTTGTGCTGGCCAAAGTGTTCGCGCTCATCTAACGGCAGGGAGTTGCGAATAGCAAAGCGAGCGTGGGCGTCACGAGTCTGCCACTGTGAGCGGGCAGTGCTGTCAGCAGAAGTATCAGGGGCAGTAGCATGGCCTAGGGCGTGATCGTACAGTGAGATGTCCTCCTTGGCAGTGAGCTGTAGGAAGAGGTGCAGGTCATCTAGCCAGGTGTCGAACTTCACTGGGCGGCCCTCAGCATCGAAAGCGAGTACAGGCGGACTAGCCATAGTAGCAGCAGCAGTAGCAGTAGCAGCAGTAGCAGCAGCAGTAGCAGCAGTAGCAGCAGCAGCAGTAGTGACGAGGCCGCTAAGAGGCGGTGCGCTGGGTCGACGGGGACGGCGGGGCCTCTATGTGGGGCGCGCGCGGGGACAGCGGGGCCGGCGGGGCCTCTAGGCGGTGCGTGCGCGGGGTCGACGGGGCCGACGGGGCCTCTAGGCGGGGTGCGCACGGGGCCGACGAGGTCGCGGGGCCTCTAGGCGGGTCGCGAGCGGGGCCGACAGGGCCGGCGGGCCGTCTAGGCGGGGCGCGAGCGGGGTCGACGGGGCCGGCGGGGCGTCTAGGAAGGGCGCGAGCGGGGTCGACGGGTCGGCGGGGCCGCTAGGCGGGGCGCGAGCGGGATCGACAGGGCCGGCGGGGGGCTCTAGACGGGGTGCGCACGGGGTCGACGGGGCCGACGGGGCCTCTAGGCGGGGCGCGCGCGGAATCGACGGGGCCAGTGGGGCCGCTAAGCGGGGCGCGCGCGCTGTCGACGGGGCCAGCGGGGCCTTAAGTGGGGCGCGCGCGCGCGGTCGACGGGGCCAGCGGGGCCGAAAAAAAAGAAATAAGCGCGCGAGGGCGCTGGGGGGAGGCGCTAAGGCGCGCTCCGACAGTAGGGCGCACGAGGGCGCTAGTAGAGAGTAAGTAGCGGTGGGCCCGAAGGAGAAGTAGGTCCTAGCGAAGGACCTGCTCTGAAACCATGTCAGAATAGCTGAGCAGGAATGAATGAACTAGCAGTGAGTTTGGTACAAATATGAAACCCTAGAATTGTGACCCCCCTACAGGCTAACCCACTATAGCCTACACAAGTATAGCATGGATAATGTTTGACATTGTTGCCGTGTCTTCCTCTTTCTGCAGGCCAGAGGCAGGAGGTGGAGTAGGAGTAGTGTTAGGAGAACCTTTAGAGGAGCTTCTTTCCTTATGTGTTGCCATGTCTTGTAATGCTTCTGATGACTTGATAGTAGTGGAGTTTCCCCTGTTTGCTCTCATACCATGTTGGGCTGAGAAAAGCCCTTAGGATCTTTGCAGGGGTAAACTCTGGGTAGGAATAGTTGTAACAGCGGAAGCTTTAATGAAAAGGTTTGAACCACCTTGCGCTGGTATGTGAGGGCAAAGTAAGTTAATTAAAACAAGAAGATACAATGATATATAAGATTACAAGGAATATGAAAGGATACAGTTATAACTACTTTTGCTGTTGCTATTGCGGTTCGATACAGTGACGACTCGGGCAACTGCTCTGTAGCGAGTCAGTTGTGTGTCCTTGCTGTCGCGCTGTATTTGTCAGGTCAAAGGTCGCTGACCTTTGACTTTCGCGTAACCTCCAGCAACCTCTCAACCTCCGAGGGTTGACTCGCTGGTGCTTCGATAGGCTTCGCTTCGATTGTGCCTTAGTGTTTCGACACGACAGAGGCGTTTAAGATTCATTGTTTCCAACACCTCGGCGCACCTGCGCTTACATATGGAGCCATATGGAAGTGACGCGTGTATGTTCCTCATGGGGAGCAAAGCGAAGGGCGGGTGTACTGGTGGGATGGAGTTTGTGTGTTGTTAAGGTACACACCGTATCAATAGTCCAGTCTGCAAATCAGGATGTTTCTGCGGACCAAGTTAGCAAGTTAACGTCCTAGCGTGATTAGCATTCCTCTGTGTTCATTGCAGCTGTTAATTTCTGCACATTTATTACACTGCAGTTTAGCTAGTTTCAAGACTCTACGCTTTCACGAATTTCTGATAACGCGAATGTGAGCAACGAGTATCAGGGCTTTGTCAGCTCTCCCGTTGTACCTCTAGGCTCATCCATGGCTTCACCTCCAAGCTCTCACGCCCCTAAACTCTCTGCGCAGTGCGGCAGCGATCAGCGCGCCGATTGATGCATCAGCGTGGCAATTAGCTGACACAACAGCGCGATTGATTAGGAAGTGTCACGCACCTCCGTACCACCCTCTGCGATTTAGTTTCACCCGCGTCGTTCGTTCTCGAGCGCCAACGTGGCAGCCGCGCTGACGTGTAACTTCTGCGTGCCTTTTGTAGTAATCTTAACACTTCGCGCGCTACCCGTGCCACACGCTAGCAGGCTCCGCCCAGCTCTGCGAGTGCGAGTGCTCTGGAAGGTTTGACAAGCAGGGGGGTTGACAACTGGGCATGGCGGAGCGAGAGACAGACGGCGCGATGGTTTCCAGGTTGGATGCGGAACACGACGGCGCGGATGGGGGAGCGGTGGGGAGAGGCGCGAAGGATGTTGGTTCCGCGCGCGGTGCCGTGGATGCGGATGATGGCGACGCCGCCGCCGGCGCCGGCGCCGGCGCCGCCGCCGACGACGACGACGACGACGAGATTCCGGACGCCGTGCCGCTCCCCGGGTTTGACGCGAACATGACGGGGAGCGGAGAAGCGGAGGCGGAGGGGGAGGCAGACGAAAGGGGCTCTGCCGCGGGGCCAGACGGCTCAAGGCGACGAGAAGGGCAAGCGGAACAGGGCGCATGGCGCGCAGGCGGCGAAGAGGATCCCGCGGGGAGCAGCGCGCGCGAGGCGGTGCCGATCACGATCATCACGGGGTTCCTGGGAGCCGGCAAGACCACCGTGAGACCCCGCGCCCCTCCTGTGCCCTCCCGCGCCCACCCATGCCCTTCGTGCCCTCTCCGCGCCCTCTCTTCTCCTTCTCCCTCCCCTCTTTCCATACCCCCCGTCCACTCCCCACTCCCTCTCCCTCCCCCTCTCCCCTCCCGTTCTTTCCCGCACTCCTCTCAGTCCCGCTGCGCGCTTGTTTGAATCCATCCATTGTCAGCACCCTCAGCCGTTTCTCCTTCCCTTCCTTGTCACGAGCCGTGTCCTTTGTCGAAATTAGCGCGTTAATATCTCCCTCCAACCGCACGCAACCCGTGTGTGCGATGTGCCCCTGTGTGCCTCTGTGCCCAGCTGGTGAACCATATCCTGTCGCAGTCGCACGGGCTGCGCATCGCCGTGATTCTCAACGACTTTGGCGACCGCCTGGGCATTGAGAAGGCGCTCGTGCACCCCACCCCGCGCGCAGCAAGGGGGGGAGCGCCAGGGGCCAGCCGCTCGAGACTCCGCCAATGCTGCTGCTGCCGCTGGTGCTGGGGCTGCCAACACTGCTGCTGCTGCTGCTGGTGCAGAGGGCGAGGGGGAGAGCGAGGAGTTGAGTGCGGTGGCGGAGGTGCCGGTGGTGGAGGAGTGGGTGGAGGTGGGCAACGGGTGCATCTGCTGCAGCGTCAAGCACTCCTTCGTGCTCGCACTCGAACAGCTGCTCACCCGCCGAGACAGGTGCACGCCCTGCTGCTGCTGCCCCGGGGAAAGGAAGGAGGATGGGGGGGGAGCAGGGGGAGGGAGTGTGCTTGGTTTTGGTTGGTGTGTGTGTGTGTGTGTGGGTGGGTGGTGGGTGGGGTGGTGG